GGAATAAAAAGGCCTCGTTTAATTATTGTTGTCTTTTAAATTCTTCGTTTTTTTAATTTTGGTAGATTCTGACCTTCGCGTTAACGGCCGTTAACGATGGTAACGGAATCGCTAACTGCAGTTAAAACTTAACCCCATGGTGTTTTCGTATATATATCATCACTTAAAGAAATAACTTCATTGCAGGTGTAAAATTGCGATGTGTCTCTTAAAATAATATTTATACTTTTTCTTGTGGTTATCTCAAGAACATAATCTCTAGTGTGTAAGCTCACTAATAAAACAAGAAGGCAAATTCTCAACAATCATAACTTTTAGAGGACATATAAAAGATTTGATGATTCATGGCACCATATGTTGTTACTTGTTCAAACTTGGTGACATCTTCATTTTCCTTTAGAGGTTGAGTAATGGTAATTGTCACTCATCATACAAAAGAAGCAAATAATAAGCTTGAGTGATTCTAAAATTATGAAAAAGAGATAGGTTTTAGTACGCGCACGTAATAAATAAACTATACCCTACGAGAAAATGGCATCGAAGGAAATGTCACATAAAACGCAGAATTACTATCCAACACTATACTGTAAGAAGAACTACAACCGATGGAACCCATAACAATCATACAAAACGAACAGTTAATATACAATATACCGTAAGAAAAAATGGGACCCGAGGGAACCCTAACATACTGATTGAAAAATAGATTAAGCACCAATTTTTTATGTGGAACAAGATATCCTTACTTTCATTAATTTTGTTCTTAAAAATCAAAAATTGATTGAAATGATAAATTTTTACGTTCTTTTTTTATTAATTAATCAAGAAGTTAAACTTTCATTTAATATATTACGTTATGACTATTAGTTTATGTTATTCTAGTTACGTGGAGTATTCAATTACCTATATATACTCTACATAGCTTCATGTCTAGAATAACAAATAGAAAGCATAATTCATTAGATTCATTATATACAATAAGAATACGTTGGTAAATTATAAACATAAGCATAAATGGCTAAACTTAGCTCCCATATTACTACGCTATTCATTGTTGTAGCTTTGGTGTGTGCGTTTGTTCCTGTATTTTCAGTTGAAGAAGCCGAGGCAAAATCATTATGGGACACTTGTCTTGTTAAAATCACTCCTAAGTGTGCATTGAATATAATCTAGGTTGTCTTTGGAAATGGAACTCTCTATGAATCATGTTGCCACAATCTTGTGCAAGAAGGAAAAGTGTGTCACGATAATCTCATTAAATATATTGCTGACAGACCAAGCTTAATTGGCCGTGAAACTCAATATTTAAAGAAAAGAGATGACTTGTGGAGTCATTGTGTCTCTATCTCTAAAACTGCTTAAAATATGTACTATTTAATTATTTTCATCTACAGAATTTATATTTCAATGTTGTAACATTTTTTTTGCCACAAATATCCAAGTCTTTACTTAATATAAAATAAATCAAAGCTCAACTTTCGGCAAATGACTAAGTTTAATATATATTTTTCTGATATTTTTAAACTCGAATAATTAAGCAAATCGCTACTGAATCGTTAATCGTTTGAAATATCTAATTAACATTTTTGGTTGAATTTTACATAAAAAATTAAGGGTTTAAATATGAGTGGAGGGATTGATTGATATACCTTTGGGCATGTTCGTTTGTCTCATCCAGCGAGAGCACGTACTGTTCGTTTGCTTGTCACTGGCGACTATAGCTATCAATTGTTAATGTGTTATTTGTTTGACTGTTGCTGCGAGCAGTCGTTATATGTTTTAAATTTTGAAATTATAAATTTTTGACAATTTAAATTTTAAAATAAAAATAAAACAAATATGCAATATTTTCCTAAAAATAATTAATATATTTTTTTAGTTATCTACTTTAATTTTAGAGAAATTGTTAAAAATGTCTCTTTTTGAATACCCCTTTTCAAAAATGCCCCCTTTGAGAGTCCATTTTTAAGTTTGCCCTCTTTTAATTTTTAATGACCATTTTACCCTTATTTGAAACAAAATTAGGTCCAAAAAATACAAAATATTTTTTGGCGGGAAAAGTGATCCCGCAATTTTCCCGCCAAAACACTTGTGATCCCGCAATTTTCCCGCCAAAACAAATTTTCCCGCCAAATTTGTAATTTTGATGTGTGCACATTCTCATGTTTTCCTTATATATTTGTGACATCTTTTATTATAAGAAGGGTAATTTAGTCATTTTGTACATAAAAAGGGTATTTTTAAAAATGGACAGCCAAACGGAGCATTTTTTAAAAGGGGTATTGAAAAAGGGGCATTTTTGTGAGTATCCCTTAACTTTATCAAATTTAATTTGATTATAATTACTTTATTTTATTTTGATATAGTTTCCTTTTATTTAATTTATTTAGATTTATTTTAATATAATTATACTTAATATATTTTAGCATTGTTTAACATAATTGCATTTAGATTAAATTTAATTTGATTTATTTGAATATAATTTAGTTTAGTTAGATTTAGTTTGATTATATTTAATTTATTTTTTTTTGTTTATCGCTATGTTATTCGATTGCATGTTGGTAGATTCAGCAACTAATCGCAGCGACTGATTGATGATGATCGCGGAAAATTCTAACGACTGAAAACTGCGATCGCTAGTCGCTAGCAACGGTCGCTGTGATTGGTCATTGAACAAACGACAAGCAAACAAACAACTTTTGGTTGGTGAAACCAGCGAAAGGCAAACGAACATAGCTAACATGAATAATCTAGAGGAGGATGTCACATTTTCCTCTTAAAATAAATCCTTGAATCATAGGCTTGGATGTCGCATGCATAATCTCTAAATCATGTATAGTCCATGGTCCATCTTCTTATCTAAGAGGCAAAATGCAAGACACATGAAATCAAAACTACTCCAGAAAATAAAGATCAAATCGTTAGTAAATTCCACCAAAATTTGTCATGTAAACATGTGTAAGAAGTTATTCTCATTTGGCCAATTGAAGTATTGGTATACTTTAAAGCTAAAAGAAAATTCGGTGAGTATGCTATTCGACGGTTAGACTCATCCTTAAAAAATTAGTCTGAGTGGTAGGAATTTAGATCACTTTCTGATTATCAATAAAAAAACATAAGTAAGAAGAGGTAATATCAACATTACTTAGCTTCCTTAGCTAAGTAACTACTATATTTTCTTGTGAAACGCACAAATAAATTGGAAAGTATACTCCTAAGTAGCTAAGTAACTACTTTAATATAAATAAATCCATATCCTCAATATTCAACCATCTAATTAAATGTCGTTTATAATTTTTTTTAATTTCACAAATAGTGTTGGTGCACATTAATATTAATTTTAGTTTTTTTTTTTTTTATGTTTAGTATAAATTTTATTAAATATGGAGAACATTTCAAAATCATAGATAAAGAGTAAAACATATATTGATTGATTTGTCGATATAATAATATAAGCAAAAAATTAAATTGGATAAATTTTTTTGTAAAAATACTCATAAGTGCTAAACAAGTTTTTAATAATAATTTAATAAAAAATTATAATTACATTTTTAAAATACCGCTGTTATATATCGGAATTAATTACTTTTCAGAAACATTAAATAACATGCAAGCTGTAATATTCTCTTAAATTGCTAAACATTTCGTTAAGACACATTTTTTTTTCGTCTTAATGATTCCATTATATTATGCAAGATATAGTTACAAGGTAGAATACGGTTTTGGAACACAAGGCCGACAAGAGTCGAAACTCTTTCGGAAACAAAGCCGGCGGAAAACATAAATATCCCCGGAATACTAAGCCCAAAAGAGGGAAGCAAAATATAATAAAAAAGGTACAAGAAGGTAAGCCCAAAAGGAACCTAAGAACTAAATCTGTAACTCGAATCCATCATAACCCGCAAACAATTCCAAAGAAACGGTTGACGTCGGAGCTGAAACCAAAAAACATGAGCCTCAAGAAGAACCAACCAAACAGACAATCTCCAACAAATCGGAGAACCCGAAGAAGAACGAATCCGAAGGCACAACCATCAACAACTCGACAGAACAGAAAGCATGGACAATCCGAAAAATAAGCACAGCAACTAACACCATCATGCCACCTCCATCAGGGAAATGAGCTCGAGCGAAACTAGGCACAAAGAGAAACCCTTGAAAACGGCAGGGGATAAGTCAAAGAGGAGCACCAACTCTTACACGCGGACAAAGCGAACCAATCAATGCCACCTACAAACATGAACCGGTCACGACCTCGCAAGAGAAGAACTAGTGAACGAAACCACTGCTGCGCCATGAACCCGACCACAAAAACCGAAGACGGCTTCAGAGAAGAGCTAGTAGATGCACCTGCAACGATGTACCATCCGAATGACAAATCCCAAACACGAACCTAGCCCACCAAAAACCACGCACAAACAAAAGGAAGCAAACGGCGAAGAAGAACTAGGAATCCAAAACAGAGATTTAAAGCGAGTAAAGCACTAATCCGGAAAGCATAGCAAAGCCATACAATAAGCCGTAGAGTTAGAACCCAAAACAAGCCTAACAAAATCTCTGCCCAAGCCAAAAGCACCAACTAACCCTTCAATACAAACTACTAGATCTATACCAAGCAGTACTAGACCTCTACGCAAGCCAAATGTACCAACTGAACCTACAACACAAACTACCAAGAGTATCACTAAGGCAGGACCACCGAGATAAGCCGTAACTGCAAACCACCAAAGAAACACTGACGCACGGGGACGAGACGAAGCTCTTCCCACACTTCTCCGCCTCTGTTCCAGAAGGAGACACATTTTAACTGACCCATTCCAATTCTTTTTTTTTGGTACCACCACATCACCATTAGATATCTATCAAATCGGTAAACTTTTTAAGCAATGGAAAAGGCAAAAAGATTGGCCCAAGAAAAGTTGGAAAGGTGACGAAACGGCAAGAAACACGTCGAAATTAAATTCGAATGGGTCAAATTCGGATAACGTTTTGTCAGCAGTGGCTCGTTTTCTCACGCGACCATAATTTTTTCTTCTTTCCTAATTTTTAAATCATTTTTTCATCTTTCTACTTCCATACGCAAACACAACTCCTTCCTCCTTCCTCAATCAAAAACACCTTCTTTAATCCAAAAACAAACAAAAGAAGAAGAAAAGAAAAAACTATACAAAAGATAATCTCTGCCCGCTTCTCCGTTCTCGGGGTTGCGTCAAAATTGCACCAAATTGATCAAAACCTACCCAGAAATCATTTTTGGTCACAGGGGACGGGCGGGCAGATTTAAAGTTTTCTTCTTTTTCTTCTGTTTGAATCGTTTTTGATTCGAGAATTTGTGTGATTGATGGGTTTTTTGGTGGATACGCAAAAGGAAGGAGGTGGACATTCATGGGGTTACGTTAGAAGCTTGGTTAGAAGGAAACAAGTCGACTCTGCTAATGGCCAATCTCATGGTCACCAACTTGCTAAAGCCCTCACTGTTCCTCATCTCGTTGCAATTGGTAACCTCATTTCTAGGGTTTTCATGTTGTGTGATTCTGGGTTTCTTATAAACACTCAAAAGTTTGATCCTTTTGATTCTTGTGTGCTCATTTCATGTGGATTCAGGTGATAAAGTTTGGTTTTTTATTGTTAATATTATTCACAGTTTGATTCTTTTGTGCTCAATTCATGGGGATTTAGGTGATAAAGTTTGTTTTTTTTATTATAATTGTGGAATCAATATATAAACTGTTGTCTTTTGTATGGTTATGTAGGTGTTGGAGCAACAATAGGAGCTGGAGTTTATATTCTTGTAGGAACAGTTGCGAGAGAGCATTCAGGACCTTCTCTTGCTTTGTCTTTTCTTATAGCTGGAATTGCTGCTGGTCTTTCTGCGTTTTGTTATGCTGAACTCTCTAGTCGTTGTCCTTCAGCTGGTAGTGCCTATCACTATTCCTACATTTGTGTTGGTGAAGGGTAATCAATGACTACTAGTTGCTTATTGTGTTTATCTCTAAGAAAATTCCGGAGCTTTTAAGTCTTATTGAATTATGGGTCTTTTTCTTGTTATCAAGTGTTGCGTGGATAATCGGTTGGGCGTTGATTCTGGAATATACGATTGGTGGGTCAGCTGTTGCCCGTGGCATATCCCCAAATCTGGTTTGTAACTTATTGTCTTGTACTATATCGATCCCCAGTTACAAAATGCAAATTACTTGGATTCCTCTGTTTAGTGTGACATTGCTGATTGCCTTAGTATAGCTTGCACTGATAATTTGGTTCATGGACGGTTCTGTAAATCCGTATCTTGTCGTTTTTTTTGTCATGAAGCCCTTTCTTGATAATTCATCATTCTGTCTAGGAAGCTCCATGCTTACCATGACGATGAGCTATTTATTAAATCTTTTTGCTTGGGATATCTGGTTCAATGTGTTCTATTAGTTAGGGAGCATTAAATAGCTTGAATATCGTGTGGGGACTATCAATGCTTCCTCTCTCATGGATTTTATTATATAGCTGGATTTATGTTATAAAAAGAAAAACATAAGGACGATTCTATCTCTTTTCACATTCATATTCTGTTAGCATCAATAATTGTGTGTCGCTAAAGCATTATGGGTGGAAAACAAATTTGCAGGCACTGATTTTTGGTGGTGAAGATGGTTTGCCTGCAATTTTAGCGCGCCACCAAATCCCAGGCTTTGATGTTGTTGTTGATCCATGTGCTGCTATTCTTGTATTCGTTGTAACTGGCCTTTTGTGCATGGGAATAAAGGAGGTACAAGCTTTATATGATTTTGATCCCGACATCAGGATAAATTTCAACTCCATTTGAATTGTATTCTCATATACGGAAATATCTTCTATGCAGAGCACATTTGCTCAGGGAATTGTTACGGCAATCAATGTGTGTGTCTTGTTATTTGTCATAGTAGCTGGCAGTTATCTGGGCTTCAAGACAGGTTGGGCTGGTTATGACCTTCCAACAGGGTAAGATGAGCATTCACTAGGACTTGAGCCATCGTAGTTTAATATACGTTAAATATTAATCATTTGTCTTTTTAGGTTCTTTCCATTCGGAGTAGATGGAATGTTTGCTGGTTCTGCTACAGTCTTTTTTGCATTCATTGGGTTTGATTCGGTTGCTAGTACCGCAGAGGAGGTAAATTTTGGAATGCTTGCTCTTCTTGCAAGTTTATGTTCATTAGAGGCTTTCTATTAGTTTGCTTTTAAGCACCCTTTCAAACACTTAGAGGTGCTGAAAATGCTATGCACATCTATGTGCAGGTGAGAAATCCCCAACGGGATTTACCGATTGGTATTGGTCTTGCTCTCTTGCTATGTTGTTCTCTCTACATGATGGTCTCCATTGTAATTGTTGGTTTAATTCCTTACTATGCAATGGATCCTGACACCCCGATATCCTCTGCATTCGCTAGTCATGACATGCAATGGGCTGTGTAAGCATATGATCGTTTAAGATGCAGTCTGTTTCATCTTCTTAGACATGTTTATGCGATTAATCGTTTTCATTTGGAAATTTGATGTAGATACTTAATAACTTTAGGAGCTGTCATGGCACTCTGCTCAGCTTTAATGGGTGCCCTTCTCCCTCAGGTAAAGTTTCTCAACACAAATCAAGAGTCAATGTTAGATACTGATACACAGGACAAAAAGTTTTAATCTCGAGTCAGTGATTTACAATTAAATGCCAGAAAGATTATGTGTTTTTCATTGGTGTGTACTTGTTACTGAATACAACTATTTTCATTTTCCAGCCCCGAATTCTGATGGCAATGGCTAGGGATGGTCTGCTGCCTTCAATTTTTTCAGACATTAATAAACGCACACAGGTTCCGGTTAAAGCAACCGTGGCAACTGGGTTGTGTGCTGCAACATTAGCGTTCTTTATGGATGTTTCACAGCTCGCAGGGATGGTAAGACAGTATGTTTACTTTTTCTGATTCCTGGTCTAGGGGAACTTTTTTGCCATATGGCGTGTTATTAAGTTTTTGAGTGCTGCTGATGGTGCAGGTGAGTGTTGGGACACTTCTGGCATTTACAATGGTGGCAGTATCAGTGTTGATACTAAGATACGTTCCTCCAGATGAGCAACCTCTTCCGTCATCTCTTCAAGAGAGGGTTGATTCTGTTTCCTTTATAGGTGGTGAAACAACGTCATCCGGTCATGTTGGCACTTCCGATAGCAGTCACCAGCCTTTGATTGATAATAATGATGCTTTGGTCGATGTCCCGCTTATCAAGAATCAAGAAGCTCTAGGATGTTGTAAGTTACATCAAGAAGCTCAGCTATTTTTATGGAGAAACTAAATGTTTTAGCACAAACTTCACATTTGTCAATAATTTTGCAGTGGTTCTCAGCGAAGAAAACAGAAGGATTGTCGCTGGATGGAGCATTATGTTCACATGTGTTGGGGCCTTCCTTTTAAGTTATTCGGCATCAAACCTGAGCTTCCCAGGGTTAATTCATCATTTTCTATTTTAGGCATTGCTTTTTTCTCAAAACTTTTATTGCTTATCATCTAAATACTTTATAAAATGGTTAACAGGCTTATTCGATATCCGCTGTGTGGTGTTGGTGGATGTCTCCTCCTTGTTGGTTTGATTGCTCTGAGTTCCATAGATCAGGATGATGCGAGACACACTTTTGGACATTCTGGAGGTAATGCTATGTAAATTGTTACCGTACAATAAAACCCTTATATGTCTAATGTTGTGTGTTATAATACTTTGTTGAAATTCCTTTTGAATAGGTTACATGTGCCCGTTTGTTCCCCTCCTACCTATCATATGCATTCTCATCAACATGTACCTTTTGGTTAACCTTGGGTTAGCATCTCTTTCACTCACTCGCGACTTTCATTTACCGTTTATTTTCGCTTGTTTCTACATCTATTTTTATAATGGAATCTAACTTCAAGACGCTGTTTAACCTTAACCTTAACCATTTAGGTTTAAAAGCCGAGTTCTTAAAGCTTGTATAGTTTTAGGATGAACAAATTTGTTGGTGTAGATAGGAGAAGAGAGCAAAAGTTTTTGTGGATCTGTGTCTTTTGGTGATAGTTGGTGTTTTTTCTCAACTGGTTCCTCTAATCTCTTGACTGGCTAACATGACAGATCTGCGACATGGGCTCGTGTATCGGTGTGGCTGCTGATTGGAGTGATTGTGTATGTTTTCTATGGCCGAAAAAACAGCTCGCTTGCCGATGCAGTTTACGTAACTACAGCTCATGCGGAGGAGATATATCGCGAACATGAAGGTTCTTTGGCATAGTCTGAGAATGCAGCATCTCTTTTGTTATATATGTAACACAATCTGTATTATCTTTATCTTGATGAAACAAGAGTGGCATAATCTTATTGTGAGCAAAAGATTTGTCCACGGGTTTTGTAAATAATATATATCATCATCAATTCCTAGTCAAAGACTCATACACTCAGAAAGAAAAACATAAAACAAGCAAAAAAAAAACACTTGACACTTTTCAAGAATCAATGAGTACTTTGATATATTAAAATAAATACTATGATTTATATCAAATTTAGTACATGTATAGAGTTTTTAATGAATTTTGGGTTAGCTTTTGTTTCACAAAAATAGTTTCGTTTCTAATTTGGTTTTACGGATTTTAAAATAAACTAAACTGGTTTATAAATAAATTATTATAGAAGGATATAGAATAATCTAGAATATCTTTGAATATATTTCTAATAATTATCTCATTTATGTATTTGTGTATATTAGGAAACTAGGTTAATTAGGTTTATCATTCTCCTCTCTATATAAACATATGTATCATAACCTTTATTATTATGAGAGTCAATAAACAATTCTTCCAATCTCTATCTCTCATCAATCTTTACATGGTATCAGAGCCACAATGATCTAACGATCGGCTCCGTTCCTGAATCTAAGCCAAGAGCTTCTTCTTTTTATTTTTGTTTTAAGCCAAGTGCTTCCAACATTCAAGTTCATCATGAACATCTGAATCTAAGCAAA